TTGAACAGTAACACTGCTTTAGTATTTGTTGTGTTGTTGACTTCACTATGAGGCTTTTCTGTCTTTAAAGCTGAAATGTTTCTTCTCGGTTGATGCAGATTAAAAGTCAGTAGGAAGTCTGGAAATGTCTTGAAACTCAAAAGGTTTTTGGATTATTGTTTCATATCAAACTAAAGGACTGAAAGTGACTTTTAACAGTTTGAAATCTCTGTCCTGCCAAAGCCAGACTTAGTTTCAGAAGCTCAGTTTCACCCAGCCCTCACACAGCAACTACAAACACACACATAACTCATCATAAGCCTGAGAAAGTACAAATGTTTACTTTTTAACACGGATACAGAGACAACGTAACAAAAATCATCTCAGTGAGATCTGAATCTTAGTTCAGGGTTAAGGGTTGGTCACGATCAACGCTGCCACCAGGCCGAGCCCCAGCAGCACCGGTCAGCTCTGTTAATCCGACTGTGAGTCCGTCATGATTAAAGGATCAGGCTGCTTATATTCTGTATTTTTGTCATGCGTTTCTTCGTCTCTCATTAGTTTCTGACTTCACTTCTCCAAACTGAGGACTAAAGAAACTGTTTATCTTTAAACGTTTTTCACAATTATATAGTTTTAATTAAAAGAAAAAAGCTCAATTATTTCGGGGCGCTGCAGTTTTTGGCAAATGTAACTAAAATGCATTTGTTTGTTTGACTATTTTCATCTGTGGGTTCATACAGTTTTGTGGCTCTTGTGACTGTTTAGTGCAGTGGGACTTTATATGTGGGAATAAATTAAATTAATGAACTACAATGCTCATATTCATAGTTGGATCAGTTTGTTGTTGTTTTCTTATCTTTTCATGGGATTTCTTTTTGACAGAAAGAAAATTATAGAAGACTTATTCTGAGGACGTGAAAAGTGTCAGTGAGTTGGTCAGAAATGTGAAAAGTGTTTAATAAACTATTAGAAGTTGATTTGGTAGTTTAGATATAAATTGAGATTTCTAGATCAGCTGCCATGTTTGTTTTGTTTTTTTATTTTGAGTTTGAAAGTCAGAGCCAAACGATCACAGCCAGACTTGTGTTGCACTTGTCTGATGCTTGATGTTGATGTTTGCATGATATATTGACGTCTGACAGTCGGATCTGTAGGACGACACTGAACAAAGCTGACTGCTGTTTCCATCTTATTAGACAGCGACCCAGTCTCCTAGAAATTATGTTTCTATACGACTTAACTGCGACAGAAAATATGTCATTTCTGGCTGCATTACGTTCAGAGGCGAGGTATTTCTTTAAATGAATGAAGCTCTGAATTTACAACGATCACTGTCGTCTGTGAAACATTAGACGTCTTCCATCCTGCCCCTTTAAAACATCGCACTCCCTAACACTGGAAACATAAACAGTGTAGAAATGTCTTCACCTTCCTGAACCACAAACAGCTCCAACAGAGAATCCATTTGTTTTAACACCCCCACCCCCCTCCCCTCCCCCCAAACATCAAACAAACTTTAATTATTCAATTACACAACATTGGACTCTGTCATGACGCTGAATCAGCAGTTGATTTATGCTCATATTTCTGTGATGCGCTCCATTAAAGGATTATTCTGAGGCCTTTAAGATGAAGACTATCACAATTAAAAAAAAAAAAAAAAAATGCTCCTCACATGGCTGCTGGCATTAAAGGCATGCCACAGTGCCATTCATTAGCTGCCGTACGCAGACACGCCGTCTTAGAGCAGCCTAGTGAAATTACAGGGGGGAGACACTGGCAGCAAAGTCCATAACAGTCACAAATAACACCCTGCTATGACAAGGGAAATTACACGTCTTTGGAATTGAAATTTTAATAGCGTGATATAATTGTATCGGCGCGAGGAATGTGCAGTACGTGTAATCGGATGCTTTTGTGTTTTGATAAATGTGTCGAGGAGGCTTTTTGTCAGTTTTTGGGATCTCAATCGAATGAGCACGTAACTAATTTTCAACAAAGAGTTTGTTGATTTATGATGAGTTGTCTGTTGGTGGAGGATTATGTGAACATTCATTCATTAGGATACAAACTAAAATACTTCTCCTACACTGTAAACAAGGAAATAATTCACACTGGATCTCATAGGACAGAGATAGAGGTAACTAAAGTTTAGATAATGCTGTACATCTACAGCAGGATTACAGCATAACCAGCCAGTAATCACTTCCAGACACCAATAAGCTTGTGTCATTATGCAGCTGTGCTCTGGATGTGTTTATATGGCTCAGTGGCTGCACTATACGAGTGGATTAGTATAAGCAGTTCCCACACCCTCTCAGGTGTCCTGTGCTCAGGGCAGCCTGGCCCAGGCACACAGATAAAGGCTGCCTTTGTCTGCAGCGGGAAACAGGTAACCATTTGTGCCTGGACTACCGTGTGTGTGTGTGTGCGGTAGGACTGACAGGGCAGCCTACCGTTGCTACAAGAACAGGTGTGGCTTTTCAGCAGCCCCACATTCACATCATACAGCACATGTGCACGCAATAAAAAGGTAAACTATGATTTCCAGTCTGTGATTCTCAAGGCAAACAAACACCATTATAAACAGTTATACTTTCAGGAAAAGCATTAATCTATGTCTTTATCCTCTAAAGTAACACCCCCACACGCTCATGTAAATTACAGGTGTACAGTTTAATGTGATACCGCTAACTATAACGTAAAATATATGTATCTCATAAAGATTTACAGCATGTCACTATGATAATTAAACTCTAAATTACAAATTAAAAAATACATGAATTGAAGGGTATAATTCCTTAGGGTTATCTATGATCTATGCGTGTGTGTGTGTGTGTGTGTGGGGGTGGGTGGTGTGTGTGTGTGTTTGTGTTCATGTGTGTGAACAAATACATAAAAGAGATAAAAAAGTTAACAATTAACATTCCCAGTGTGACCTTGACACCGTTTAGAGTATGTAGCAGTTTATAGTGGAATAATGACGAAGGGAAGTGTGCTTAAAAAAATCTGAGTTTTTAAGTGTATTGTAGTTTTCTCCCACAATGCACCACACAATAGTAATGGGGGGGGGGGTGACTGCCCTGTCAACAACAGTTTTATTAACTCATACGCTTCATATGACATTTTATCTCAACAAACCATTTTTAAAAGTGAGAGAAGTTTGCTGCTGAGGAAGATCATGTGATATAAACAAAAGCTCCAGAAAAGCTACTAAATGGACCTTGTGTGAGAATGTTTTTTATCAACTGCTGTTTCCAATATCAGGAATGAACTTTCGGTCTTCACATTTTGTCTCGTAAACGACAAAACTAGTCTGTCAAGGTTTTCAACTGGGTCACAGTAAGCTAATTCTGTCAGCTAATTTGGCTAAGCTAACTTATTGCTGTGTAAATGTTACCTAGCCCTCCTTGTTGACTCAAATAAAGCCACAGGGATGAGACTGACCTCAGAGAGCAAATAGTTAATTTTTGTATTTTTTGAATTTTGTGGGGGAAAAACCTGGAAAAAAAAAATGTCTGGAGAACTGAAACTAAAGAGTAACTTCTATATGACTCATTAGCTCTCCAACCAATCAGAGGGCTTGTTCCTTCTCATGGCCAGTTGGGATTGTTTTGCCTGGTTTAGCTTGGGTTAATGGAGAGGCTAGAAGGAGAAGCTAAATGACTAAGCAAATAGATTAGCTAATAGGAAAAGGAAATGGAAATTGAAGAGGGAATCCAGGTATGTTTCCCATTTGTAAAATGACTTTTAAAATAGTTTTTCAAATTCTATTATTTATTCATGATTTACTAAATATATTTCTAAATGGTGTATTTAATGAGTTTTATGCTGCCATTTTTAAATCTCAAGTACTTATTGATGGAATAATCGTTCATTTATAAATTATTTTCTTTTAATGCTTAATAATTAAAATATGAAATTAAGAAAATGCTTTTTCTACTTTTCTTGTGACATTCCTGGTCCTCCATACAACCTCCATATAAACACAGGAAATCAGCTTTGAAAAGTTGCTATGTTACATACATGCTAGCTAGTATGTAGCATGCTAGGTACGTACAGTAGCTTCACGAAAACACAAAGGTTTAAGACCCCAGAGAACAAATACTAAATGTCTTAGCTGTTTGATCTAAATACAGAATATTAAACCGATTTACCTCTGCGTCCCACTCACATGCATGTGAGTCTGTGTATGTGTGTGTGTGTGTCTGTACCATTCATTTCACCTGGTGTTTAAGTCAGACGTTGAGGATTACCTGCTCAGGAAACAGCAGGGTAAGAAGAGACGGAGCTCCACTGGTGTGTGTTTAAACAGCCTGTCACAGGAGCTAATTTTATGACCCACTACTGGGTTTTCAACAGACGCTCACTGTAAATATTCAGCCAGAGAAGGAGCCTGCTCGCTAACGTAGGCCCGACAGGAAGGTAGACCGACATCCAGAGTGACTGATGACTATAGATCTCAGGTGAAAGGTGAGAGTGCTGAGGATGTGCGCTCTTCCTCTTGTCTGTTGTGGTATTCGGTCTGGAGCGCGCGCGTGTGTGTGTGTGTGTGTGTGTGTGTGTGTGTGTGTGTGTGTGTGTGTGTGTGTGTGTGAGAGGTTAAGTACGTGTGTTTAATGGTGTGTGTGTGTGTGTGTGAGAAAGATGTTAAGTACAGGGGCTGAATGGTGTGTGTATAGAGGTCTTTAATTAGAGCAGGAAGACACAGCTCAGGAGACACACTACTCTAGACTTAAGTGTGTGTGATTGTGTGTCCGTCTGTGTGTGTGTGTGTGTGAAGACTGGGAAACATCCTGCATGTGTCAATAGTTTCAGGGTCCATCTTGCTAAGTCTAGGAGTGTGTGTCTGTCTGTCTGTCTGTCTGTCTGTCTGTCTGTCTGTCTGTCTGAGTGACAGCCTACAGAAAGTCATTCCTATGCCAACTTTTCTGAATAGTTTATAGCTTATGGACATTAGCCCTCAGTGTTCACTTGGCTTGAACCTAAGTTTTCTTTTCCCCTCTCTCCTCCTGCAGCTCCCATGTGTTCGTTCGGCCATGCTCCCCGGGTATGGATTCTCACCTTTTCCTGATTTCCAGCCCCACCTTCACGCTTTTCGCTGCCGAGGAGAGAGTCCCAGCATGTGGATCCCTGGCTCAGGAGAGTCCCAGGCTCTGAGCGAGGCCCAGGACGACAGGCCTCTCCTCCACCCGTGCCATCACAAGCATGTCGCCGTGTGCCAGCAGGAAACCCTGGCTTTTATTGAGCTCCAACCACCAGTGACTCCTAAACTGAACGGCCTGGGCTCTCCGAGGCCAGCTGTTGTTCCAGATGCACAATATAAAACACACTCGCTGCCACTGAATGGTTTCAGACACACGCTGAATGAACTGAATGACATGCAGAACGGCTGCCACAGGACAGACAATGAACATGAAACACTGACTTTGAACTCTCATACAGCTGCTGCTGATGGAGAGCGTGAACGCCACAATGGGACTGAAAAGCCACGAACCGTCACCACAGTATGTCGTCCTCTCCACGCAGCTCTGAGCCTCCCTCTGTCGTTCCCTCTGTCCTCTCTGTACACAAACACAGACTCGTGGGAATCTCAGTTACCTTCCTCACCTGAAGGTCCTGAGTTTCAGAGCCCGGGCTCCCGCCGGCCACAGAGGAGGACATCACAAGGTTCACTGAAGGAGAAGTCAATCCGTGAGTGTGCAGCTTATTTCATGTTTGAAGTTGACATTCACAGATTAGGCTTTAAAACACTTTAAATGTTTCCTGTTTGTTTCCAGGGCGAAAGATGCAGGTTTATTCTCCCGACAGCCCGAGCGATGAATCTCTCGGCAGCCCGATCTTGGATGCAGACTACATCTTCCCTGGACCCTTTGCATCTTTCCTGGAGGAGGACCTCAGTGGATTATCTTCCCTGGAGGCCATTTCGAGTCCGTCATCCACTGACGGCACCGCAGATGACATTTTTAATCTGCCTGCAGAACCACTGCAGATAATTGAGGACTCGATACTGGGGGCGAGGGAGGACGGCGGGAGCGTGGAGACGTCCAGTGCCGCAGGGGGGAGCTGTTTGTCACGCGGCCGTCAGGGGGACCAGGAGCGGCGGCGCTTCTCGGCCTCGGAGCTCATCTCCAGACTTCAGCTGTCTCAGAGGAAGAACTCCTTCACCCTGAAGCTGGGGAAGTCTCTGTCGGCTCGGGTGGCCTCCAGGGACAGACAGAGCTCCAACAGCCTCAGCCCCAACCCTGACTGTGAGTACACGACACATCCGACACCACGGGGACATTTCACTGGAGCGCAGTCTGTCTTCATACTCATCAAACCTTCTGTTCAAACTCAGTGTCATTAAACACACTTTACTTATTTATTCAGGACTTTCCTTCAATTTGTCATGAATGTTTAGTTTAGTATTAGAACTCCAGAAACATCACTTAATAAACTTAAATCAGACTTCACATGTACTGACAGAAGATCAATCAACATTTTTGAGAATTTATTAATTAATGACAAACATTTGCTGGTACCAGCTTCTCAAATGCAAATGTTTGCATCCCTACTAGGAGACCTTTGTTGCACGTCATCTCCATCTTTATTTCTTGTCACCTCTCCTTAAAAGGCTATGAAATGTATATGTTTGATGCATTGCCAAACAGGAGCCTTTAACGACAACAACATGTCAAGACCCTTTAACACACGAGGCGTCTCACCTCTTCCTTTGACCTTACTTCTGCACGACCTGCTCTTTATCGTCTCCAGATAAGAACAACTCTAAGCACCGCAGCTCAGGAGGCTCTAGTGATAGCGCCCCCCACAGTCCTGTAGGACCCGCGCCTCCTCTGCCCAGCAGTGACAGTGGGATGCCTCTGCATCGGTGGAGCACAAAACTCGGGTAAACACACACTTAAAATATTTCAATATAACGAGCAGGAAAATTAAAGGTCGTGTGTTAAAGCCTTTTCACATTTTCTTCACAGCATGAGAAAGAAATCCATAGAAGAAGACTTCAGCACGCTTCCAACTGTTGGAAGCTCCAATCGCTTGTCAAGGTTTCTGCCTAGTTGTAAGTTTCCCTAAAAGAAATTGTTGCTATAGCATTTATTTAAACTGTCTACACATTCCTCTGTAACCATCTTTCTGATTGTCAACGTTTCTTCTGTTTGACTCCTGCAGCGATTCTGTACCAGGAATACAGTGACGTCGCCATCAACAGAGAGATCCAGAGGCAACAAGGGAAGGAGCCGGGCACAGAGGAGGAGGGGCTGAGGGACGAGGGGTCCGACGGGACGCCGTCTCCATCGAATCTGTCTCCATCCAGCTCCTTTCGCTCCTCCCGAGGTTCCGCCTTCGCGCTGTGGCAGGACATACCTGACGTTCGAACCAGCGGGCAGCTCGACAACTTCAGCAACGAGGAGAGGAAGTTACAGGAGGTGAGTGAGACTCGTCACAGTTTCTTATAATTCTTGGTTTTTATCTGTTCCGCTGACTTCCTGTGTCCTCGTCAAACTCAGGCAAAGTTTGAGCTGGTGACTTCTGAAGCGTCGTACATCCGCAGCTTGACCATCGCCGTGGACCACTTCATGTTGTCGCAGGAGCTCGCCGACTGTCTCGGAGCTCAGGATAAGCAGTGGCTCTTCTCCAAGCTGCCTGAGGTCAAAGACGTCAGTGAGAGGTGAGGTGAAACGCCACTGATACCTCCCTTTGTGTTCACACCTCCGTTATCGCGTCTCCTCCTCCTGAGTGTGTTTTCCTGCTCACCTGTTGCCGGCAGGTTTCTTCAGGACCTGGAACACAGACTGGAGGAAGACATCCTGCGTTTCGATGTGTGTGACATTGTCCTGAATCACTGCCCGGCTCTGAGAAGGGTTTATTTACCTTACGTGACCAACCAGGCTTACCAGGAGCAGACATACCAGCGTTTGCTGTGAGTAACTGCTTCATAAGAAATCAGAGCCTGATGTGGAAAACAAACCTGAACTTATTTGAATTTGTTTTTTTTATTGACATTCAGCATCAAACAGATATTTCCTTTATTATATTTCATACAGTGTATTTGTGCGGCACTGACACTCAAACTTCTCGGACAGATATTGATCATATGAAGTTTATTATCACTTGTAAAATGAGCACATCTGCACAACATTTTAATCATTATTTTCTATTTGCATGAAGCATATATGTTCTAGCATGTGAAACAAGTCTTATTCACAACATGTTGACTGTGTTGACTCTCAGTCTCTGTCAGATGTTTGTCCCTCAGATTTCAGACTGAATGTATTTGACATATACTCACTCGTTTGAATCAGATCTCAGAATACTTCTTAACAAAGTTTATTTATATAAAAAGGGGGAAAAAAAACGACAATGAAAAAGAACCATGAACCGGTAGAGAGTGATTCTTTTCTTTATACGAAATTATTGATTTGTGAAAATAAAATCAGGCCCATATACATTGTTCCAATTTATCGACAAATGCTGTTTTCTTCATTTTATAAAAGTCCGTTCACACGTTTAGAGTTGGGCTCTCCTGTGAAAACCATTTCCTGGTAAGATTCTTTTTACCAGCCACCAGCAGTATGTTCATTTAATATTTATGTCTTTTCAGCCTTTCTTCAGGTTTATATCCAAAATACATCCTCTTTATTTCTAGAGGGATTTCACATTAGAAAACATCTTTTGTATGTTTCTCTAATAGTTTCTGATGACAGGACAGTCAAAGAAAATGTGGTTTGCATTTTGATTTCCATAGTTTCTCCAGCAAACAGGAAGATCTATATAGATGCATATATGCATATGCAGGAACTATCTCTCTGTGCACGTTCATGGCTGCAGTGAATAAAGTCCTATTGTTTCATGCTGGATGTCCATAACTTCCTCTGAGGGTGCTCAGGTGTGGTTTTACACCTGCATGACTTGACTTGCAGATGGTTTGTTTTGAGTTGAGCTTCGGATTTTTCTTTTTTTCTTTTTTTTTTTGTCAGGATAAAATAACTTGCTGTAATTTTCACTCAGCTTCTCTAAAAGTCATTAAAGTGTTTCTGTAAGTTTCCTCGTCTCGTCCTCTCAGGCACGACAACCCTCGTTTCCCCGGCATCCTGGCTCGTTTGGAGGAGGACCCCATCTGCCAAAGACTTCCTCTGACCTCTTTTCTAATCCTCCCATTTCAGAGGATCACACGGCTTAAAATGCTGGTGGAGGTACGTGATTAAACGTTCGCCGCAGAATTCATTCGTGTTCACACTTGAAACTCAATTACGTGAAACTGTAAATGAGGTAATATCGGGACCGGACGAGCAGTTTGCCGCAGCAGGTTCTTTCCCCAGTGGAGCATGACAGGAGGATTATTCACTCCCTGGCGTATTTTCAAAAACTTTATTTTTCAGAATATCTTGAAGAGGACGACGCCGGGCTCTCGGGATGAGGACACCGCCACGAAAGCTTTCAACGAGCTGAAAAAGGTGGTGATTATAAAGCCTTAATAGCCAGTTGGATGAGCACCAGTATCATCATCACTGGTGAGGCACAGCAGTAATGACTGTGTTGGTATGTGTCTTCTTAGATCATCAAAGAATGTAACTCCAGTGTGCAGTCAATGAAGAGGATGGAGGAACTTATTCACCTCAATAAGAAAATTCATTTTGAGGGAAAGGTGACTGAATCTTTGTTGTTCAGGATTCACTTCCTTCTTTTTGTTTGTCTTCATTTTTTAACATTTTTGTTTATCATGTCTTTTCTCTGCAGATCTTCCCTCTGATCTCTCAGTCCCGCTGGCTGGTGAAACACGGCGAACTCCTGGAGGTCGACACTCAGACCATGAGTATCTCTGGATCGAAGCTGAAGTTACCCACCAAGCCCGTGTACCTCCACCTGTTCAATGACTGTCTCCTGCTGTCCAGGAGGAAGGAGTGAGTGATGTTCAGCTGATACAGAGACCAAGGACTAATATCATAAGTCACAGCTAATATGAGCCTTAATAGTCTTAAGTTTAAACATGTAGAGCAGACACAGTGAGCATTTAAAGCTCCATCCAGTGTAAAGGTCTCTGTCCATGTGTAGTGTGATTATAGATCAGGTCTAGGTTCTATATTAATACTGTGAAAGTATCAAAGCCTCAGTCCACAGAGAATTACACACAGCCTGTATTCAGACACTGAGCCTTAAAACCAGCCGTCAGGACTTCTGTGACTTTGTGATGTCACAACAAAGCAGGAAGGCTGGAAGCTGGGTGAAACTGCCAGCCTGGCTCTGTCAACACTTTATATATTATTTTGTTTAATCCGTATAAAAACTGAAGTGTAAAAATAAGTCTGTTGTGCTGACCTCCGGGGCTCTTGTTGTTAATGACATTGACGTGCAGCTAGCACAGACTCCAGATAAGCTAATCTAAGATAATCAGCTGCTAGCTGTGCTCTAGTTCCATATAATAATAACTTTATTTATAAAGCACTTTTCTAAAGAGAGTTACAAAGTGTTGTACAAACATAAAAACAAAACGACAAATACACAGAGGAGAGAAACAAAGAGTCGATTAGCAAAAGAGAGAATTACAAATACGTGTTAAAACAATTAAATCAATAAAACAGACAAAAGAAAATAAAACCAAAAGTAAAAACCAAAGATAAAAGCACTGAAATCAAGGACCTTTTGAGTCGTGTTTTAAACTGGGGCATAGTAATATCTTTTAAAGCAATCATGTGAAGGATTTAAACATTTCCAACTTTGGCGCCTCCTAGTGGTTGTGTCAAAAACAACCCTGTAACTGACAGCAATGCACACAACTGCCCTCCACCATGGATCTGACCTGAGGACAGTGACAGTAAACGGGCTGAAAGCAACACGACTGCACCGATCTCCATCAGGATTGTTTTAGTTTCTGAAAAACACAAACTTTGCACTGTTTGCTGTCAGTAATAGTAACATGGCTTTTCTTTTCTTCTTTTTTTTTGTCACAGTACTTGGAAGTTCATGGTGTTCGTACACGCCAAGATAGGAGAGCTGAAAGTGAAGGATCTCAGTCAGAAGCTGCAGGGCATCTCAGGATTCATCTTCCACCTGCAGCTGTGTGAAGGCCAGCAGCTCAAACACCAGATCCTGCTCAAATCACACACCGAGTGAGTAACAACAAAACTCACTAACCTCTAGACGTTTCGGCAGACGGTGCTCTAACGGGCTAACTGGTTTGTCTTGTGTCTGTGAAGGAGCGGGAAGCAGAGATGGATCACAGCGATGTTTCCGTCTGATCCTCTCGAAGACATCGAGCAGGCCAGTGAGAACGACGGTGAGTAGAGAGCTGGAAGTTCACCATTAATGAAACCTCTCACTCCTCTCATTCATCTTTTTTTTTTTGTTTGTTTTGTTTTCCTCTCAGACATTTCCCAAGTTCAGTGCATCAAAAGCTATCAGGCCCAAGAGCACGACGAGCTAACGCTGGATAAGGCCGACATCCTCCACGCTAAGACCATGACGAGTGACGGTAAGGATCTGGATAAAGAAGTTAATTTTCTGTGTCTCACTGGCTGAACTTTAACCAAGCAGGAGATAATAAGACGCCGTGTTTTGTTTGATCCACCAGGCTGGGTGGAGGGCATCAGACTGTCAGACGGGGAGCGGGGCTGGTTCCCCAAAACCTACGTGGAGGAAATCACGAGTCGCAGCGCACGCCTCCGAAACCTCCGGGAAAACATCCGCATCAAATGTGTCACACAGAAACTGCAGGGAGAGGACTGACCACTTCTCCTGAAGGTGCATTTCAGTTAGCTAAGTTTCATTATTAAGCTTCTGGATCATTGTTTTGATTTTAGATGGATGGTGGGACCTTCGTATGTCGTATGCAGGTTCTAAGACAAGATAATATTTTTAGCTGTGTCATTTCCTTTAGCATGCTAGCTGTGGATACACTTTAAAAGCTTCTACTGCTCCTTTACAAGTTTAGTATAACAGGCTTTTATACAATAAAAGTCTGTTGATTCACATTTTATCAGCAGTTTTCGCCGCCCTGCACTTCCTACACTTTGTATGTGCAATTACTTTATGCATGCTTTCTGGGTATGCATTTCAACACCATTTTAAAATCAGAGAAAAACTTCAAGCATCTCTGTTGCACATGTATGCACATTCAGCAGCACAGCCAGTACGAGTAAGCAGCTCGTAGCACGTAGCATGAGGCTAACTCGGAGTCTGTGACTGCAGACTTCAGCCCCTCTTTGTGCAGTAAACTCTGAGCCGTGCAGGAGATTCATTCATGTTTCACTACCACACAACAGACAGACACCCACAGACCTGCTGCTGAGCTGATCAGACACTTCAAAGGCTTTTTAATCTTTCATCTTTGTTCTCGCTGCTTTAATTTCACTGCACTACAGTGTATCAGTTAATTTCCCTCCTTGTTAAAATAAGCTCCATTAGAAAGGATGACCCCCACCCTGTATGGACTGTAAATGGTTTGTAGTTACTGCATGCACATGGTGGTTTAAAGATGAATTTCACAATTCTGCTGTAACATGAATGAAGAGCAGACGATCCTCTTTACAAGGCTGCACTACACTAATACTTTTTTTGTCAGCGCTGTAATCCCATTAAAGGATTAGTCCGACTATATTCTGTATTTTTATTATCGTCAACAAAGTCCATGAAAAGACCAGAGCCTACATGTTTTGTCTGTCGCAGCCTAATGGCGCTTATTCCTCTGTTCCATAGTAAATTCCACTCACACATCCTGCTGCTGTAAATACTGACTAGAGCAGCGGTTCCCAACCTGTGGTCCGGGGCCCACTGGTGGGCGCTGAAGGTATTGCAAGTGGCCCGAAAAATTCATTTGCAAAACAGAACAATTTTGGTGAAAAGATGTAATGATAAATAAATGAAAATATAAATAGTTTTTAAATATTTTAAAACAGTATTATCTTTAAAAACTCTTTGACAACTGAGCTTCCCCTGTTTTCAGTTCAGTCCTAAATGTTTGATCATTACCTTTAAAATAAAAAGTTACTGGGTCAGAAGTGGTGCCATGAGTTGGAAAAGGTTGGGAACCACTGGACTAGAGCATCTAATGTGTATTAATCCACCGCTGAAAATAGTCCTTGACAGGTTCACAGTTCACTCCTGTTTGAGTAACATTTGCTAAGAACTACAGTTCCCAGTTTAGGCTGCACAACTAATCCAAATATAATTGAAATCACAATTTGGCAAAGTGCAATATCCAAATTGCAGGAGTTGCAGTTTTTCTGATGAAGGTAAAATGTGTCACATTGTTGTGCATTGTTATCACCATCAGTGTTGTGGTGCTACAGAGACTCCACAACCTACAAATCATATTCTCCAGACGTAAAGGAAACATGTTTGTTTTGTACAAGACAAACAAAAATCACGTCAGCAGAATTTTTACATTTTTTCAGTGAAAATGAAAAACTAAAAATTCCAACTGAAATCGTGACTCAGATCACAATCACAATATCTTCACAATAATCACAATATGAGTTTTTTTCGTATCGTGCGGTCCTAGTGTCCAGATACTGGATATTATAGAGATTTATTTAGCCTTTTTTGTTAAAATAAATTCAACTTTATGTTTGTGATGTGTCTGTTTTTAAAGACTTTACACCTTCAGTAGGAACAAATGAGCTTGGGGCTGAAACGTACATTGGGAAGTGAAGAAATGAACTTTGTAGGTTTTGATCTTTTCATGGCATTTGTTGACAGTAAAAGTAAATAAACTGACTCTAGCTTTGCCCTTTAAAACTGGGAATTTGAAAAAAATACCAAATTTACCTTGGAATCTATTAACGTTACCCACCTGTGTGGTAAATATGCAAATTTATGTTCAAATGTACTAATTAAAAAACTTTGACAAGCCCCAGTTTAGCACCAGTTGAATGAAAGCTCGACATTATGTATTACACTAATAATACAGAATAAAATAATGCAGTTTTACAATAAGCACTGATTCATATTGAGGCCGACGTCATTCACACCATTCCCCTCGTTAAATGTAGAAATCCCCAGATGATCAATAGCACAGTGTAACTGAGCTGAGACCTGTTGTTAACGAACCACTATAATCAACATTCAAAAACTCGACCAGTGGCACATGAAATGTTTGTAACCCTACTTTTTTTTTCTATATCTAAGTTGTTAGTTGTAATTTAAGTGGTTGCTGTTGCAGCATGTGTATTTATACTCCTCTAGCTGGTTGTTCTCTAAGGAGATTCTGATGTAAATTGAATTTTACTGTAGATGGCTTCATGTATAAAGCGTAGAAAATGGTTCATTTACTTTTTTTTTGACAATAATTTATATGAAAAAAAAGATGTAACAGATATTATGACATTCCATATCTATAAACGTTGCAGTCAGAGTAATTTCTAATACAATGATGAATATAAATACTGTAATACACTGGATGTTTACTGGATTTCTCCACACTACTGTAAATGTTTAACCACTGAAATAAAAACTGATTCTTCCATTTTATGTTGTGTTGAAATAATGATTTTCTTTAACCCCACTTTTAGACAGTTTATTCTGAAAAGGTAAACTATCATGTGTATGCCTGTATGTACAGTTTGTTCCTCTACAGCTCTACAATCTCTTCATCTAACATTTCCTCAGCTGTGATCTGCTCTTAATCTAGGTCATGGCCTTGTTTCAGTTTGTCCCCACATTAAAGAAGAACTAAAAGTATCTCTTCAGTCTCTCAGAGAGATGAAATCACCCAGATATATCACATTTCAGAACCTCTTCACTGCCCTGTCTCCATTTTGTGGCACAATTAGACATAAAAGTAATATATACATGCTATCTATACAGTTTTATATTTTGTAATTACAGGAAAATTTCAAGCTTTCTGATGAGTCAGCTGCGTCCATTGATTTGACATTGGTCGGCAAGAATCATCGGCTCCTGGGACTCCTTCCTGCTCCTCTGCAGCTTTGGCACGATTGGAGGAGCAGCCTGACTCGCAGGGATGTTGCTGCTTCTGTCTGGCTGCAGATCAAAGACAAAAACCTTGTTGATGCACAGTTGCGACGAGACGTCACCTTGGGCCCTCATGAATATTTATTTCAAACAGGACTTCAGAAAGTATTGTTTTTCCCTAAATCAAGAAATGGAACAAAATTCTGCTAACCCTGAGTGGCCAAAAGATAATTTAATGCAGCTTTGAATGATATTAAATCAGTTGTGTATCTCTTGTTTATGTCCAGTTCAAAGGACCGTATTAGTAGTAGTCTTATATGTTCTAGAGTCTTACCTGTTGTAAGTGAAAAATCCAGTTCTGATAATCCTCCAAGCAGGTGCATGAAACCTGCAAGGGGTCCACCAGCTCACCTGAAACAAAACAGTGATTAAATAAGATGACTGTAACCATCACTGCAGGTAAAAGAGGATTGGTGTCACAGTTTTGTAAAGTTTACCTATCAGCTCAAACTCCAGCCGTCCGGACAGGGTTGACCGCTCCACGGCTCTGATGCCATGTCGGGGCAACCTGCCCTGTTAAAGATGACAATAAAATGACTGTGGAGTGAGTGTTTCATTTTAGCTTCTAGTTGAAATGAATTTACTGACGTTTCAGGCAGCATGTTTGAGTTAGAAAATGTTCCATCTTTACAAGAAGTGCTGTGTTGTGACTCCTGGGACACAGTTGTGCAACAGTGGAGAGTAACGTTACACTACCTCGTATGTTATGTTCAGACGCTTATTGTCCAAGGACAGCAGCACGACGTCTTGAGGGAAGAGAACCATCAGTCTCTCCTGGCGTCCCTGAGAGAACGCAATCACTGTTAATGCTGTATCAGTAACAAAGACACAACATTGTTTTCTCTCTTACGGTTCAATACAGCACATGTTTATTGGTTTAGAGGTGAATGGACCAGTGAATAAATAGAAGATTTCAAAATGCTGCCCTCCTGTAAAACGTCATACTATAATAAGTCATGAAAATGTCATAGTATAGTAAGACATAAAGTTTTCAAAAAACATATTATAGTAAGATGTAAAATATTCAAAAAACGTCATAATGTATTAAGGCATAAAAAATCATAAAAACGACATAGTATAGTAATGCATAAAAAGTCATAGTATAGTATGTCCTAGAAAGTCATAAAAACGTCATAATATAGTAAGGTGTAAAAACTCATAGTATAGTAAGGCATAAAAAGTCAAAAAAATGAAATAGTATATTAAGATCTAAAAAGTCATAAAAACATCATAGTATAGTATGGCATAAAAAGTCATGAAAACGCCATAGTATAATAAGGCATAAAACGTCATAAAAATGTCATAGTATAGTAAGTCATAAAAAGTCACAAAAATGACATAGTATATTAAGGTATAAAAAGTCATAAAAAAGTCATAGTATAGCAAGGCATAATAAGTCATAGTATAGTATGATCTAAAAAGTCATAAAAACGTCATAGTATAGTAAGTCATAAAAACGTCATTGTATAGTAAGGCATAAAAAGTAGTAAAAACGACATAGTATAGCAAGGCATAAAAAGTCATAGTATAGTAAGGCATAAAAAGTCATAAAAACGTCATAGTATAGTAAGTGATAAAAACGTCATTGTATAGTAAGGCATAAAAAGTCATAAAAAAGTCATAGTATAGCAAGGCATAAAAAGTCATTGTATAGTAAGGCATAAAAAGTCACAAAAATGACATAGTATATTAAGGCATAAAAAGTCATAAAAACGACATAGTATAGCAAGGCATAACAAGTCATAGGATAGTATGATCTAGAAAGTCATAAAAACGTCATATTATAGTAAGTCATAAAAACGTCATTGTATAGTAAGGCATAAAAAGTCATAAAAAAGTCATAGTATAGCAAGGCATAAAAAGTCATTGTATAGTAAGGCATAAAAAGTCACAAAAATGACATAGTATATTAAGGCATAAAAAGTCATAAAAACGTCATAGTATAGTATGATCTAAAAAGACATAAAAACGTATAAGTATAGTAAGGCATAAAAAGTCATAGTATAGTATGATCTAAAAAGACATAAAAACGTATAAGTATAGTAAGGCATAAAAAGTCATAGTATAGTAAGGCATAAAAAGTCAAAAAAACGTCATACAAAAGTAAGGCATAAAAATTCATAAAAACGTCATAGTATAATATGGCATAAAAAGCCACAAAAATGACATAGAATATTAAGGCATAAAAAGTCATAAAAACGTCATAGTATAGTATGATCTAAAAAGACATAAAAACGTATAAGTATAGTAAGGCATAAAAAGTCATAGTATAGTATGATCTAAAAAGACATAAAAACGACATAGTATAGCAAGGCATAAAAGGTCATAGTGTAGTAAGGCATAAAAAGTAAAAAAAAATGAAATAGTATATTAAGATCTAAAAAGTCATAAAACGTGATAGTATATTAAGGCATAAAAAGTCAAAAAAACGTCAAAGTATAATATGGCAAAAAAGTCATAAAAATACCATAGTATAGTATGGCATAAAAAAGTCACAAAAATGTCATAGTATATTAAGGCATAAAAAGTCATAAAAACCGCATAGTATAGCAAGGCATAACAAGTCATAGGATAGTATGACCTAGAAAGTCATAAAAACGTCATAGTATAGTAAGTCATAAAAACGTCATTGTATAGTAAAGCATAAAAAGTAATAAAAAGTCATAGTATAGTAAGGCATAAAAAGTCATAAAAACGTCATAGTATAGTAAGGCATAAAAAGTCATAAAAACGTCATAGTATAGTAAGGCATAAAAAGTCATAAAAACGTCATAGTATAGTAAGGCATAAAAAGTCATAGTACAGTAAGGCAAAAAAGTCATAAAAACGTCATAGTATAGTATGGCAAAAAAAAGTCGTAAAAATGACATAGTATAGTAAGGCATAAAAACGTCATAGTATAGCAAGGCATAACAAGTCATAGTATAGTATGATCTAAAAAGTCATAAAAACGTCATAGTATAGTATGGCATAAAAACTCATGAAAACGACATAGTATAGCAAGGCATAACAAGTCATAGTATAGTATGATCTAAAAAGTCATAAAAACGTCATAGTATAGTAAGTCATTACAACGTCATTGTATAGTAAGGCATAAAAAGTCACAAAAATGACATAGTATATTAAGGCATAAAAAGTTATAAAAACGACATAGTATAGCAAGGCATAACAAGTCATAGTATAGTATGATCTAAAAAGTCATAAAAACGTCATAGTATAGCAAGGCATAACAAGTCATAGTATAGTATGATCTAAAAAATCATAAAAACGTCATAGTATAGTAAGTCATTACAACGTCATTGTATAGTAAGGCATAAAAAGTCACAAAAATGACATAGTATATTAAGGCATAAAAAGTCATAAAAACGTCATAGTATAGTATGGCATAAAAAGTCATGAAAACGTCATAGTATAGTATGGCATAAAAAGTCATGAAAACGTCATAGTATAGTATGGCATAAAAAGTCATGAAAACGTCATAGTATAGTATGGCATAAAAAGTCATGAAAACGTCATAGTATAGTATGGCATAAAAAGTCATGAAAACGTCATAGTATAGTATGGCATAAAAAGTCATGAAAACGTCATAGTATAGTATGGCATAAAAAGTCATGAAAACGTCATAGTATAGTAAGGCATAAAAAGTTATAAAAACGACATAGTATAGCAAGGCGTAAAACTTCAGAGTATAGTAAGGCATAAAAAGTCATGAAAACGTCATAGTATAGCAAGGCGTAAAACGTCAGAGTATAGGAAGGCATAAAAAGTCATGAAAACGTCATAGTATAGCAAGGCGTAAAACGTCAGAGTATAGGAAGGCATAAAAAGTCATGAAAACGTCATAGTATAGCAAGGCGTAAAACGTCAGAGTATAGGAAGGCATAAAAAGTCATGAAAACGTCATAGTATAGCAAGGCGTAAAACGTCAGAGTATAGGAAGGCATAAAAAGTCATGAAAACGTCATAGTATAGCAAGGCGTAAAACGTCAGAGTATAGGAAGGCATAAAAAGTCATGAAAACGTCATAGTATAGCAAGGCGTAAAACGTCAGAGTATAGGAAGGCATAAAAAGTCATGAAAACGTCATAGTATAGCAAGGCGTAAAACGTCAGAGTATAGGAAGGCATAAAAAGTCATGAAAACGTCATAGTATAGCAAGGCGTAAAACGTCAGAGTATAGGAAGGCATAAAAAGTCATGAAAACGTCATAGTATAGCAAGGCGTAAAACGTCAGAGTATAGGAAGGCATAAAAAGTCATGAAAACGTCATAGTATAGCAAGGCGTAAAACGTCAGAGTATAGGAAGGCATAAAAAGTCATGAAAACGTCATAGTATAGCAAGGCGTAAAACGTCAGAGTATAGGAAGGCATAAAAAGTCATGAAAACGTCATAGTATAGCAAGGCGTAAAACGTCAGAGTATAGGAAGGCATAAAAAGTCATGAAAACGTCATAGTATAGCAAGGCGTAAAACGTCAGAGTATAGGAAGGCATAAAAAGTCATGAAAACGTCATAGTATAGCAAGGCGTAAAACGTCAGAGTATAGGAAGGCATAAAAAGTCATGAAAACGTCATAGTATAGCAAGGCGTAAAACGTCAGAGTATAGGAAGGCATAAAAAGTCATGAAAACGTCATAGTATAGCAAGGCGTAAAACGTCAGAGTATAGGAAGGCATAAAAAGTCATGAAAACGTCATAGTATAGCAAGGCGTAAAACGTCAGAGTATAGGAAGGCATAAAAAGTCATGAAAACGTCATAGTATAGCAAGGCGTAAAACGTCAGAGTATAGGAAGGCATAAAAAGTCATGAAAACGTCATAGTATAGCAAGGCGTAAAACGTCAGAGTATAGGAAGGCATAAAAAGTCATGAAAACGTCATAGTATAGCAAGGCGTAAAACGTCAGAGTATAGGAAGGCATAAAAAGTCATGAAAACGTCATAGTATAGCAAGGCGTAAAACGTCAGAGTATAGGAAGGCATAAAAAGTCATGAAAACGTCATAGTATAGCAAGGCGTAAAACGTCAGAGTATAGGAAGGCATAAAAAGTCATGAAAACGTCATAGTATAGCAAGGCGTAAAACGTCAGAGTATAGGAAGGCATAAAAAGTCATGAAAACGTCATAGTATAGCAAGGCGTAAAACGTCAGAGTATAGGAAGGCATAAAAAGTCATGAAAACGTCATAGTATAGCAAGGCGTAAAACGTCAGAGTATAGGAAGGCATAAAAAGTCATGAAAACGTCATAGTATAGCAAGGCGTAAAACGTCAGAGTATAGGAAGGCATAAAAAGTCATGAAAACGTCATAGTATAGCAAGGCGTAAAACGTCAGAGTATAGGAAGGCATAAAAAGTCATGAAAACGTCATAGTATAGCAAGGCGTAAAACGTCAGAGTATAGGAAGGCATAAAAAGTCATGAAAACGTCATAGTATAGCAAGGCGTAAAACGTCAGAGTATAGGAAGGCATAAAAAGTCATGAAAACGTCATAGTATAGCAAGGCGTAAAACGTCAGAGTATAGGAAGGCATAAAAAGTCATGAAAACGTCATAGTATAGCAAGGCGTAAAACGTCAGAGTATAGGAAGGCATAAAAAGTCATGAAAACGTCATAGTATAGCAAGGCGTAAAACGTCAGAGTATAGGAAGGCATAAAAAGTCATGAAAACGTCATAGTATAGCAAGGCGTAAAACGTCAGAGTATAGGAAGGCATAAAAAGTCATGAAAACGTCATAGTATAGCAAGGCGTAAAACGTCAGAGTATAGGAAGGCATAAAAAGTCA